GGGAACAATAAAAGTTATTCACAGCATATTTTTCATTATTCCCCAGAAGAGAGGAGATGCCTTTAAAACTGGTCGGCCAAAACAGAATGTATTACAAGGTTAAAGTCAACCTTCCACCCAAATCCCACTGTGTTGTCTATTTCAAATGCACCTTAGGGGGTATGGCCACTTATCCAGTGTTTGTTCTTCTCTTGCTGTCCCTGTCATGTCAAACAGATTATCTAGTAGGGGCTATCAGCTGTCATCTTCAAGCAGGCCGTGCATGCCGATGTGTCACGCTAAGATATTGTTTGCGGGAATGTTTTTCGGGAACACTGTCGGGCAAAATGAATGGAAACTAATGCTCCTAGCAGCCTTGGAATGAGCCCATAGAGAAGGGTGGCTAATCCTATCATTCTACACCATTCATCTCCAATCCACTTGGCTTTCAACATTTTTCTCTACGGGTAATTTGTGGCTTCTCTGCTGGATATCCTCAAAGCCAGTGTGTTATGACTACAAAACACTTCCAGGGCTGCCTGGGACCAGAGAGGAGGCCACTAAATGCCGTCTGTGACCCTGTCACTGTCCACACTGACAGCTGCCAGCCCACTGTATGCTGCCAGAAATAGCTCAATGACAGATACTATTGGAAGACGTCAAATAGTAGCCTGTCAACATCAAATTAGGAACAGAAAAGCTCAGTTGCCCATATGATCATTAGACAACAACTAAAATGCTCACTGTATCCTGATGCCACTTGCCCTGGAGACTAAAATCTTTGTTATTTTCTCTTAACAGAACACGCCCCAAAGAGTGAAAAGGAAGGCTAAATTAAATGAAACATTAATGATGCTTTGGATAAACATGGCTATTCTTTTATTCTAAAGGTCACAGTCTAAGGGGTGTTTAATATCTCTCTAAAATGGAGCCGGGTCTAAGGTTGAATGGCTTCCAGATGGTGGCGTCCCCCTCCGCATTCTGTCTGTTTCAGCCTGACAGATGCTGCACTTGCTTCCAGGGAAAAGCCTGAGCAGTCTTCCATGACTAACCAAGACAGGGGATCTGTATTAAGTGTCTCCTTGGTTCCATGTATTGTATAGATTTTCAGCTGTTTGGAGAGGAGGCCTCCCAGGGTCTGACTGTACACGGATACAGTGCACACATACCCCATCGCACGTTGTTAAAATGCACATACATACAGGTGAATAATTAGTCTTTCACCAGATAATAAAAGCCTATTTAATTTAATTTATTCACTCATTCTTTTTTATTCTTTCAGTAAAAAGATAATAGAATTTAAAAAAAGACTGGCAGGACGCACTGCATGCCACCTCACCAGGAAATCTTTTTTTAATTTTCATTTATCTTCTGAAAATTCTGCCAGTGCAATCGTGGGGTACTGCTGAATAGTGAGATTCCCCCAACAATCTCAGCTGTTTCCTAATAGATGATGTGCTCCGTATATCTGAGCAACCCCTCCAGCATTTAATGTCCTGTCTCAGAAAAATATTGATAACCTAGAAACTCTTCACTCTGATCGACCGGAGAGGCAGTGCTGTTATTACAATTCAAGTGTAGAATCAATCCAACAACAATCCACATTTCTAGCAGGACTTCTTCACTGTCTCCTCAGCTGAGGATATTGCAGCGTAACAAGCAGTGAGCAGAGGAGGGGGCTGTTTGACAACGTGGTGCTCAACAGCCCAGATTTCTAACTCTACTATCAAGCTGCACAGGACCTGTGGCTTCCCTGTTTGATGTTGCAAAGCCCATTCGGCTCTGCAAAGCAGTCCAAAGCATTCTAGCTCTAGGCTGTGGTCAGTCTGAGCCCAGGGAGCTGTGACAGCCTGCATGTCTTTCAGCCACGTCAAAAAAAGCAAAAGTACTGATGCATAAGTGTACTCTAGGCAGGGAGGAAGTGAGCAAATAACACTGTAACAACACAGGCATAACATGCACAGTGGTACCATGCCCCAAAAACATTCTGTATGTGCACATGGGCACATTTGCTTTCCAGCATGCACTGCAGCCAAGTGATTTGGAAAGCATAGCTCAAGAGGCCATCCAGCCATCTGATTTTTACCCACAGACTAAGACAGAGTGAGGGTGATTAAGCCTGGAATGTTCCAGATAGCTCTAAACTTCGGTGTGGGGGTTAAATTGCAGGTTTCTTGGCTCAGGTTGGTGTCGTTTTTCATCTGAGGGCCATCTTTCAGGAAGGTTTACAACTGCATCCTTTACTTGCAGTTTGCCCCAATGGGCCAGGGAAAGTCAAATAAACAAAATGTGTACATCTGCCTTTCCATTGTCAGTCAATATGGGCCTGGCAAACTGTCGACAATGAAGTTTATTTTAAGACTTAAGATAAAAATTAAGGTGGTATAATTTTGTGTAGATATTTTATATACTATAACACTTTAATCATATTAAGCATTATCCAAAAAAATTTAGAAGTACTTTTCTGACCGGAGACAGTTTACATAACTTTGCGAATTTCCCTAATTATCTCTCAAAACTACAACAAAGAAAAAAGGTCTAATTTTAATGCCCTCATGATCCGTTGTCAAAGCTGCTCCACAAGGGACACGTTATGATTTTATGGACTCATGAATATTTATTCAAACTGATGTTTCCAAATGTTTTATTTTATGATAATGGTAAGAATACAACCTTGAAACTAAAAAAAAAAAAAAACTAAAAAAAAAAAACTAAACTCAGGCAGGAATTGGCTAAAAGTCATATTTTCCATCTTCCACTGTTCAGTCCCAGCAGAGCTGTAAATCAGTGCAACATCACTTAGGGACAGGAAAAGCTCTTCTATCTAATGTTTGACTTCTGGGGAAAGTAGTAAATGTTCAGTCATACACACTGAGCTGCCTTACGGTAAAGGAAATGCATTTCCAGTGATGAAATCCCTGTAAATCCTGTAAATGCTAAAGTCACAAGAAGATTTTGATGTGATGACTATGGTAGCTATATAATATTGTAGCCTAAAGGGTGGCTTTGAGCTCTAAGAAACAGGGATTAGCTACCAAGCTCTACTTCTTTTTCATCTTTCATGCTCAAGTTTATTTTGTGTTTAAGCTTTGTTTTGACTACTATTCCTTCATAATGCCTTGGAATCCCCATTAGTGAGTCAGCCTATTCTAGGATCCCCCCGGCAGAGTGGCTGACTTGGGCCGGCCCTCTTGTTTCTCTCATACAGCGCAGCTCATAGTGAGATACTTTCACATGAGTTAGAATGAGCTTAGTGCTGATCAGCTAAAAAAAAACAAAG